TTCATCGTGGCAGACAAGAGGAGAGTTGAAATCCTCTGTGACACAGCTGGAAAAGGTATGTGTGTCAGACGGAGGGAGGTGGGAGGAATTCAAAATTATTTGTAAGTAATTGTAATTTGTATTATTATAAGTAATTTTTGTTTGTGTGTGTGTGTGTGTGTGTGTGTATTATCCGCCTCTGCTGGCACGCGGGCTGGCACTTTTTTATTTTTTATTTTTTAAAGCCATGCCACAGCACCTCACCATAGAGTGGGACACGCCAGCTTCTGGCCATACAGTGGGTCCCGCTATATCGCCGGGGCGGCGGCATGCACTTTAAAGTGCATGCCACCGTCCTGGCCATAAAGCGGGACGTGTCCTGCTTTATGGCGGAGCGCGGGGGCATACACTTTAAAGTGCCGGCGTGCCTTCCGGCCATATAGAGGGTCCCGCTGTATGTCCGGGGCGGCGGCATGCACTTTAAAGTGCATGCCCCCGCGCCCCACCATAAAGCAGGATACATAGAGCGGTCTTGTTTTCTGCTTTAAGGGGGATTTGCGTGGGAAGGGGGGCTCTGCTTGGCTTTCCCCCCTCTCCTCAGGTGCAGTGGGGGTGGGGAGTGGATGGCATGTGTGCGCGCACTATTCCGGCTGGCGGTGGGGGTGTGTGTGGAATGCCACAAGGAAAATCCTGGCGCATGAGGGCGGGCGGAGGCAGGCGGCTCTGCCAACACCAGCCACTGCTGTCCCTTCTCGGTGCTTCTGGTGTGCGAGGCTGCTCCGGAGGCTGGCTCGGGGAGATGATTCATTTCTTGCGGGGGAGGTGTTCAGACACTTGGCTTAACCCCCTCCGCCACCACTGCCCCCTTCACCCAGCTATAGCGAGCTAGCGGGAGGAGAATATAGAGGTCCTGCCCGCTTACCTCACCGTCCGTGGACCTCACCGCATGTCACTGGCAAGGATATGTACTAGTATAGCTGATACACCTCTATGGTGCTTTCCAGTAACCTCTTTTTAATTTCTTGTAATTAAATATTTGTAAATGATGAAATGAAAAATAAACCTATACACCTAGTACTCAGTAGCTGTATGGAGTGATAAAAGATGATGATTTCATTCACTGAGCGGGGGTCTTTTATATACCTACTCCTTGTAACACTGAAATTGTTCCAGAGTGGAATATAAAAGATCTCCAAAATCAAAACCTTTTTGATGCTAGTCAATGACACAAGTGACAAACTCTTTTACAGGTTTTGTGGGACCCAAACGCCTGCTTATTTTTGTATAACTGATTGCTTTTCATTGATTGAACAACGGCATTGTCATGCTATTGACATCTCTAATGTTCCATTACCAAATCATTATTTTAATTATTAATACTACATAGCGAAATTGGGGAGAAAAGAAGTAACTATCCCTCAGAGGGTAATGTACTGGTTACTAACCTCCATATCAGTAATTGTAAAGAAAGATTATATCTAGCATACTTTCATTATTGGGTTCTTGCCCTATAAATTTGATTGAATCTAATTAAGTATATTCACCAACACCCAAGACACAGACCACCGTCTTTCTGAATGTAAAGAAATGAAGTGCATGGTCTAATGTAAGAATTTTCTGCAAATGTAGCACTTCTGGACTGCAGAGGATTCTAAACAATATTATAGTATCACAGAGTTTTAAATCTGTTTATCAAAACATAATATAGGGGAACATCAAGATGAGAATTATTGAACTGTTATTTGAAATTCTCCTAGCTGACGTTTCACCCCGCTAAGGTGTTTTAGTGGAGGAAGGAGCCAATTGTCATCAGATTCAATACCCTGCCCCCCCAAGCACATGGGATACTAGTCTTACTCTGAGTAGTCTTTCTGTAAATGAAATTAAGATGCAGTTGCAAGGTAAAAGCTAGTGAACTGACACTACTAAAGTTCTGTATTAGATTCAGTATTTCTATTTTTCTCCCTCCAAATGATTAGAAAAAGACATATTCTAGAACACAGAGTTTCTAACAGATTTTGAAATTCGTTCAGACATTTTTCCCAGACATTGATTATGAAAACTTTTATACAAACCATGAACTTTGAACAGGCTGTACCATTATGGCTGTACCAAGAGGAAGTCTAAGCTATAGACCAGTGTTTCTCAATGTTGGCAACTTGAAGATGTCCGGGCTTCAACTCCCAGAATTCCCCAGCTGGGAAATTCTGGGAGTTGAAATCCGGACATCTTTAAGTTGCCAACATTGAGAAACACTGCTATAGACTCAATCTTACCCTTCCAGAAACCAAAAGTGACTATAACTCTTAGAGGAACAGATAAGCACAATAGCAAAGAAACAGGAAGGGTAGACTGCATAATAGTTTAGAGGAAAATTCTGCCCTGGAGCTTCCACTCATTCTACACGTAATCCTTGACTTACGACCATAAGGTTGAGCCCAAGATTTCCATTCCTAAGCAAGATAGTTGTTAAGTTAGCTTAAATGGTTAAGCTTTGGCACATTTTATGACTTTTGTTGCCACAGTTGTTAAGTGAATCACTGCTGTTGTCAAGTTAGTAACAGGGTTGTTAAGTGCACCTGGCTTCCCCATTGACTTTGCTTGTCAGAAGGTCACAAAATGTGATCACCTGATCCGCAATACTGGAACAGTCATAAATATAAACCAGATGCCAAGCATCCAAATTTTGATCACATGACCACGGGGATGCTGCAACGGTTGTAAATGTGAAAAAATGTTTATAAGCAATGGTGAAATTCAATTTTTTTTACTACAGGTTCTGTGGACGTGGCTTGGTAGGCATGGCAGAGGGAGGATATTGCAAAATCCCCAATCCCTACCCACTCCTGGGGGAAGGATATTGCAAAATGTCCATTCCCACCCCACTCTGGGGCCGGCCAGAGGTGGTATTTGCCAGTTCTCAGAAGTACTCATAATTTCTGCTACCAGTTCTCCAGAGCCTGTCAGAACCTGCTGGATTTCACCCCTGGCTATGTCACTTTTTTCAGTGCCATTGTAACTTCAAACGGTCACTAAACAAATGGTTGTAAGTCCAGGACTACCTGTATACACCGAAGAGTTCAAAGTTGCATCCACAGTTAAGAAGCATTATTCAAAATGAAAATGAGCAAATTTGAGTCCAAACTTTACAGAAGATTCATAAAATTTAACTTGAGCTACTATTGGGTCACAGATATGAAAATCAATTCTCTGATAAGTAATGGAAGGGAGCATTTAATTTACACACACACACACACACACACACACACACACACACACACTCATGCCCTATTCTAAATACTTTATAGAAAGCATTTCCTGAAAGTGAGATAAGCCAAGTAAGTTTGAGAATAGGCCTTTAGCTCCCAATACACAGGAAGTCTAGCCTTCTGTGGTCAAGGCTAGCAGGCCTTATATAAATATGTGCTACAATACCTTTCTGTTTCCTGGTTAGTGGCTTGCTGCTTATTGTTTTCAAAGGCTGCAAAGCTGCTCATATCCACATAGCCGTCATTCTCATTTGCAGCAGACAAGGCCCTGCTAGGATCTTCAAAAAATTCAGTAAAGGTTCCTGCCCTAGTGGGCCTTCGTGGAGGTATTTGTATATTTTCATAATCAGAATTCATGGCTGGGATATTCTCATAGTCAGAAGTATCAGCATTGGGAAATGAAATAGACCGGGGCTTCGTTAAAGGCAGCGGCATAAAAGGTGGCCTCGAACGATCTTCAAATGACTCTACCCTTGACACACTTCTGCTAAACATTTTGGGTGTTCCTTTTCTCTTGCCGTCCTTATAGAAGAGAACAGTTGGAGACTCCGAAGCCCTCAGTTTGGCAGTCCGTGATAACAGCTGAGGTGAACTACTCAAGCTTCTTCTGTCCAGTTCCATCACCCTGGAAGGTCCGTGATAACTAGACTCGGAGGAGGATCTTGAAGAAGAAACATGAACATCTACATGGACTTTGTTTTCTGCCTTCTTCTTGAATTTCAAAGTGAGAAATTTTTTAAACGAGGACTTCTTTTTCTTGCAATACTTATCAGGAGATTCGCTGTCTATTAAAAGTGAGGGGGAGCTTTTTGTGATGGGCTTCTTGGTGATACAGGCTAGTTCAAAGGGAGGTGGAATATCGACAACAGAGGAAGGCGTGGAAACCCCACTGGATGTAAGGTGATTCCTCTGGGAAAAGCTACCCGAGGAACCAATTACATATGGCAAAGCCAGCTCATCTGTCCTGTTTAATCTGTTATAATCTAATATAGAGTTATCGGTTTCTCGATACAGAGCGACGGGGATATCTCTGCCTTCCACTGAATAAGATCGAGGGTACAAAATGAAGCGCCTTGGCTTTGCAGGCAGCGTTCTAGCCAGCTCTATAGGTTTTCCTTCTGCCCAACATAAACTGTGTCTTACATTTTCAGTAATCATGGTGTTTGTGCTCAATGTCTGCAATTCAGCATCGGTCCCTGTTTCTTCTGGAACTGTTTCTGGCACATAACCAGGTACTTTCCCAGAATGGGACCTTGTTCTAGTAACAATGTTTTTCCGATCTATGGAAAGCAAGTGGTTTTCATTTTCTGTGTTCTCTCCCTCCCTGAAATCACTTGAGCTGTTTTGGATATCAGCCTCCTGCGTTTCTCTTCCAGCATAAAGAATCTCATTTGCTGTAGGCAAAGTGTCTCCAAGGACATATGGGTCATCTAGGGAATCACTGGCTACTTCTCCATTGCTATCGGGCCCAAACAACACTTTGGAGACCACTGTGCCTTCTTCAATCACACATTCATTGGCTGAGTTTATTTCCAGCTTAGCCAATTCTCCAGTAGAAAGCCCAGAATTTTCAGTTGATGTTTCTCTGGTTGGATTTGGGGCAGTTTCCTCTTTATTGTTATGATCCTCCTCAAGTATTTGGTGAGCCAAATGTGTATCTTCTAAAGTACATTCACTTGCACTGTGATCTCCAAGTAAAACATCTGACTTAAGCTGTGAGTCAGACTTATGCCCATTAGTATCTTCAGAACTGAGGGACATGTTATTATCAGGCATTTCAGTCTCTTTTTCTGACAAATCTTCACCCAGATCTTCATCTGGAGAATCCTGAGCATCCTCACTGCCCTCATTCCCAAAGGGAATGATCTGGCAGCTATCGTCTATGGTCTCTGTGTCTATCGTTTCATTTTGTTCTCCAAAACCTTCCCCTGTTTCACATTCAGTCTCTGGTATTTCCACTACATTCTTCACTTCAGTAGTTTGGCAAACGTTGTCAAGATCTTCTCCTTGAGGATTTAGATCTATTTCATCTTCCTTTTCATCCATTTCATCAGTGGCCCCGCTAAATGTCTCAATACCAGGCTCAGACCCACTTGGCTCTAACTCCGTGTCTACTTCAGAATCATTAGCAATCTGAGCATCAGTATTTACATCAGCATCTTCTGTAAGTTTTCTTTCTCTGCTCCAGGCTGAATTATTATCGTTGTGATTTGCTGGGCCCAATTCTAGATCGGTATTTAATTGTTCCTCTTCTAAAAACTGTATTGCATTTAAACCTTTGCAGATTAGAGGCAGACCTTCCCCTGCTGATATTGGCTCCTCTAAATGCCTTAAAATGATATCATCATATATAGTTTCTTTCAAAGATTCCCCATTCAATATTTTTCTGTCCATGTTATATTCATTGTTATCATTTATCAAATCCAGTTTGCTTAGAGTTTCATCTGCACAGTTCATTTGGATCTCGCTGGGAGGATTTTCACTGTCCACTTTTTCATATTCATCTCTTGTACCATCTTCTTTTTCACTTTCAAATTCGGGGGAATCAAGTGCTGGGATTTCAGTTGATTCCACAGAGTTGTCTCCCACTGACTCAGTATCCTTGTTCTTCATTACATTTATTGGGCCATCGCCTACGTCATTGCTATCCTTACAATTACCATCTTCTTCACCTACGGGTCCAAGAGTGTGTAAAATCTCATTCACAGCTGGCTCCTGCTCAAAGTCACTGTATGTTTTATCAGTCAGTTCAACATCAGGAATTACAATGTATTCATTGCTGTCTTCTGGTTCTGGACCCTCCGTGTTGTTGCACTGGTTTTCTTCATACAGTTCTGCTTCCAGTTTTCCGTTGGGATATTTGTTAAAGGTATTATTAGCATAAACGTTGGATCTCTGTAAAATTGCGGGATCGTTGTCAGCAGAGATTTTTGGCTTGGGAGCAATGGGTGGTTTTGGACCCCTAGACATAGAGTTTGAATTGTGAAGTGTGCCAGCCCTTGATAGTGATTGAGGAAATTTGGAAGCAGCTATGGAAGCCAGATGACTGAAGATCTTTGGTTTGGGAGCCAGTGGTGGTTTTGTAAGATCTGGAACAGAAAAGAAAACACCAGGAAATGTTATATTAACAAGCTTCTACATTACTAAGAAACATTTGGTTATTAATATACCCCTTTGTAGATATACAAAATAGAGGAAATGATAGCTTTAGTGTATTTGCTGGGTTGGTGGGAAACAGGAACAAGAAACTGCTCCATTCAGCCTGCATAGCCTCAAGCAAGCTTCTTCTCAAAGTCTGCTTTCCTTCCAACATCAGCAGCAAGAGTTGGCTGCCCTACTTCTTAGATCCAGAGAAGACCAGAAAGGGAGCAGGACTTCGAATATTTTTGCTCAGTGCAAAAATCCAAGTGAAACCATTCCGGTTGGATGGCTGTGCATCCTGCTTGTCCACATCCAGCAAATAAAAAAAGCTCACATAACTTCCCTTAGTAATAAGTTCATCTGATAAACTACCCTGTGAAGATGCTTATATGCAACCTGGATCTATTTCTTGTAACTTAAAACTATGTTCCCAGTAGAGAAAAGTTCTGGCTTTCTTTCTTATGCTTTCTCTTCAAGTACTTCAAGCATCTCCCTTCAATTATCTTTTTTCTAGATGCTACATACTCCCAACACCATTAGTCTCACACAGAGAAGATCTTGAGGTTTGGCCTGACCTCAATGATATAATTTATTTTAAGCAAGGTGGAGGGGGGGGGGAAATCAGATATAGCACTTGACTCTGACTCTAGATTCATCTGTAGAATAAAGTGGGCTTTATAGGATTTTCATTGATTCAGTTAAGGGTCAATCATGCTGCATAAGTCTGCTAAACCAGTCAGTACTAGACGAAAAGAGGGCACTGTTAGCCAAAATAGTGCCAAGACAATTTGGGTCATACTACTCTTCCCTAGTCAAGAACTCCAAAGAAAATTCATAGCCAAGACTTGAGGGAGCCAGGAGCAAGGAGAACTGGCATGACTGCAGAGAAAGAGCTACTGATGTGGAGAAGCCTAGCCACTTTTCTCATGGCATAAGGTCATATGGGATACCAGGAAAGAATGGAGATAGTGAACATCTACGTATTCCCCAAACTGGTAGTCTCCAACTTCATTAGCATGACTGTGTGGTGATAGGTGCAAAGTAGGGAATTATAAACAGGTTAATGGTTGACTGTAATGTGATGATCATGTGATGAGAACCTAGTTTAAGAGTCAGAAAGGCCATTGCTCTTAGGTTATGGTTCATTGGTTTCCTATGAAAACCCAGATAATGGACTAAATAAGGATCCAAAATGTTATATAATCCATATTAAATAAATACAATTCTGTGGTTCGTTATTCATGGAATGCTGAAAAAAAACCCCTTCAATCCTCCTCCATCTATGCAAACTTCACTCCCCTTCCCCATCTAGGCAAACTTCCGAAGCCAAAAATTGTACATTAGGCCCCAATTCTACTAGTCAGCTATCTAGAGCATGGATGTCAAACTCAAGGTCCATGGGCCCCATTTTTGGCCTGGATGGCCTCCTGCAGCATTTTGTCAATCAAAATGGGGCATGGCGGGGGGTCGTGCATGGTCTCCGCATGCTCTGTTTTGCCCGGAAAAATACTGCAGGAGGCATCCATTCCATATTCCCCCCCCCCCCGCCCATGGCGGAGAACTACAATGCTGATCTGGCCCCCAAAGAAATCCAGTTTGACAACCCTGGTCTAGAGGTTAAGGTCCCAGGCTAGAAAATGGGAGATGATGAATTCTATCTGAGGCACAAAGTCTGCTGGGTGACCTTGGGCCAATCACTTTTTTTCAGCTTTAAGCAGCGACAAAGCTTCTGAAACCTTGCCAAGTAAACTATAAGGACCAGTTCAGAGAGTCTCAAGAGTCAAAACTGAATTGAAAGCACAAAAATAACGTGACCTCACAAAAGCGTGCATGACAAAAGTGCACCGACAAAACTGTGTCGCTAAAACCACGATGTCATCAATGCGCCGACAACAGCGCATCGACAACAGTGCGTCGACAGAAGGGCGATTTACAGCGGGTTGGCAGAAGGGCGATTTAAGTTAAGGAAAGGGTTAGGTTTAGGGTTAGGTTTAGGGTTAGATTTAGGGTTAGGTTAAGGGTTAGGTTTAGGGTTAGGTTTAGGGTTAGGCTTAGGGTTAGGGTTAGCGTTACGTTTAGGGTTAGCACTAGCATTACGTTTAGGGTTAGGGTTAGTATTAGCGTTAGCGTTAGGTTTAGGTTTAGGGTTAGGGTTAGGTTTAGGGTTAGGTTTAGGGTTAGGTTTAGGTTTACAGCGCCCTTCTGTCAGCGCGCTGTTTTTGGCGCGATTCAGCGCTCATTCGTCGGCGCGGTTCAGAACTCGCGGTTTTGTCTCCGCGGTTTAGTCGGGCATGCTTTTTTCGGGCATGCTTTTGTCGGTGAACCCAAAAATAAATGCCATAATTTTTGGACTATAAGCTGCACTCCCCACCCCTCAAAAAAGTGGGTGGAAATGTCTGTGCATATTATAGACTGAATACAGCCCTGGTTTTGGCCTCATGAAATCCTCCTGCGTCCCATTTGTGCCAAAAACAGGGCACACAGAGGGTTTCGGAGGTCTGCATAGTGCTCCTGGGGGCTGGGGAGGGCAAAAACGGGATTCACTGAAGCAAAAAACTATTTTTTCTTGTTTTTCTCTTCGAAATCTAGGTGCATCTTATACTCTGGTGCATCTTATAGTCCAAAAAATATGGTACATAAATAAAAATTAGAATCTACAGAGCACAAGGAAGGCCCATGAAATTGCAGTCATAAGAGATTTCTCCAATAGCAATAGCAAAAGCATATACTGCTTCATAGTGCTTTTACAGCCCTCTCTAAGCTGTTTACAGAGTCAGCATATTGCCCCCAACAATCTGGCTCCTCATTTTAACCACCTTGGAAGAATGGAAGGCTGAGTCAACCTTAAGCCACTGAGATTTGAATTGTGAACTGCAGATAACAGTCAGCTGAACTAGCTTGCAGAACTGCACTCTAACCACCGTGCTCTTAATTTATTAGAATTTTATTTTCTACTAACAAATGAAGTCTTCCATAGATAGAACTGAAAAGGAGCTTGGTGATCACTTCATCTAAACCTCAGTTCAAAATAAAATCTATAATAATAGATGCATTTACAACACCCTTGTGAGATGGCCATCCAGTGACTGCTGAAAATATCTCCACTAAAGAAGAGCCTTTTATTTCTTGCAGCAGGCACTGTTGAATAATGCTAACATTTAGAAATTATCTCCTAATATTAGCCAGTCTGTGCTCTCCTAAAATTTTCATCCAGACCCCTGGAGCAACAGGAATGTATTTACTCCCTCAACTTATAGTCTTCAGACAGGTGGTGGGTTCCTAACCGGTTTACTACCAGTTTGCTGAGAGGGTGTTTTGCGTGTGCGCTGCTCGCTTTGCTCATGCCCGCCACGCTGCTCGCTTCACTCACGCCCATGCCCACTGCTGTGCATGCGCAGTTGACTGAAAACTGTTCTGCGCATGCGCAGAAACATGCCAGTGATGGCAAAAGACACCAGGGAACCGGTTCATGGGCATGGCAGGCCTGGGTCGCTGCCAGTTCCAGCGACCCAGGCCACCATACCACTACCAGTTCAGCCAAACCAGTCTGAACCGGTAGGAACCCACCACTGGTTCAGACATTTGAAGGTCCGTCATCAGGTCATCAGTCGATCAGTAGCAAACATGTCCAAAAATATTCTACTGGACTGTTGCTCATTGCCAATTAAACAGAAGTCCAGTTCGAACCAGTATCACATCTTTCTCTAACAGTGAGTTTGAATCATGCCATCTCCCACAAAATGGATAGGACTTCAAAGTATTCAACTCTGTTTAAATCAAATTCTTTATGCTACTTAAAAAGGGTCCTGCTTGTAATTAAGGTAGAGGACTATAACTGGTATCAGCATAAATTCACCACATAATTTCTTCAGTTGTTTTGCTTTTTCTTAACGACAACAGTATAAAGGGCATGTCTTTTTGGCAAGCAGCTTTATTTTGTTTTAACACCACTGTAAATGCTCACAAAGGCTTTATGATTGATGGCCTTGGCAGCTTTGGGTTCTGTTTTAGTTACAGAAAAAGAAATAGTAGCTTTCTTCACCACACCCCAACTCAGGATATCACAATGAGTCTTGTTGCTGTCTGCCAGTATGAGATATACAACAGAATTACCACTGTCTTAGACTCTTGTTTATTATCTCAAAATAGAAATCAGTGTAAGATTCCCTTGCATTATTCTAATGCCACATTTTTAAAAAAAAAATCCAATCTATCCCAGCTTTTGTTTATTTGATCATATTTCATTAATTCTCTTATCAAAAGACATTCATTAAATGCCCATACACTCTCTTGTTATAATGGAACAGTGGCATTTTATGTTTTAAACCAATCATTCCTCAGCTTGGTGGTGTTCAGCTGTATCAAATAACAAAATTCCATCCTCCGTTCCCATGCTTGCTGGGAATTCTGAGGACTGCACTCCCAGCAACTCTGGATGTTGTTCTGGTAAGGCTGGTCTTGAATAACTGTGATCTCCATATACAGTCTTGTTACTGCTCTTTTAATTATATATTTATTGTATTTTAGTATTTAAAAAATCCAAAAAGTACAAAAAGAATAGAAAACATGAAGCAATTCGGCTTTGTTTTTAAATAAATCATTAAACTTGGCTATAGGCCTGTGATGGCGAACCTATGGCACCTGTGCCCCAGGTGGCACACAGAGCCCTCTCTGCAGGCACACCAGCCATCGCCCCAGCCCAGCTCCACCATGCAAGCGCATGCACCACGTGCCAGCCAACTGGTCTTCAGATCTCTGCCATGCATGCCCATTGCATTTTGGGGCCTAACCTTTTTGCCCACACCCATAATGCAATGAGCACGTGACACCCTCAAGCAACGCACCTCCCCTCACCCATTTTGGGCTTCCAGGTTGGTGCAGGAGCCCTCGCGCCCCTTTTTCGCTTCCAGGTTGGTGCTGGAGACCTTCCAGGCCCAAAACAGGGCGT